GATGTAGGGAAATGACTGACAAAATATTCAGGAAGAAAATGGTAATTACACCCAAAGAGGAAGCACAATTCCTGGTTACAAGAAACTGCCACATATGCGGTTACGATCTATGTGAGGACCGTGTGAGAGACCATGACCATGTAACAGGTAAGTACCGTGGAGCTGCTCATAATATATGCAATCTTAAGTACAGAATTACATTGGAAAGTACCTGTGGTCTTCCACAACCTTAGAGGTTATGATAGTCATCTGATTATGCAGGAAATTGGTAAGTTCAAGATGGATGTTAATGTGATCCCAAATAATATGGAAAAATACATCTCATTCTCACTGGGTAAAATTCTGGTCTTCATAGACTCTATACAGTTCATGGCTTCTTCACTGGAAGCACTGGTGAGTAACCTTTCACCTGAGGACTTCAGGATAGTAGGTAAGAGGTGGAAGGGTGAGGACTTCAATCTAGTGACACAAAAAGGAGTGTTCCCATATGAGTTCCTCGATGATATTAGCAAACTCAATACAGAAGGTCTTCCGAGTAAGGAGGAGTTCTACTCGTCACTGTACGAGTCAGAGGTGAAGGAGGAAGATTACCAGAGAGCTCGGCAAGTATGGGATCACTTCAAGATGAAAACCATGAGAGACTACCACGACCTCTACCTGGAGACTGACGTTCTTCTACTGGCTGATGTGTTTGAGAACTTCAGGAGAACATGTCTGGAAAGTTACGAACTTGATCCCGCACATTACGTGTCAGCACCTAGTCTGAGTTGGGACGCTTTCCTGAAAAAGGCAGGTGAAGAAATAGAACTCGTAAGTGATATGGCTATGTTTCAGTTCTTCGAGAAGGGTGTGAGAGGTGGTACAAGTTATATTGCCCATAGACACTCCGCAGCTAATAATAAGTACATGGATACGTACGATGTGTCGTCTGAGAACAAGTACCTAATATACCTCGATGCTAATAATTTATATGGCTGGGCAATGTCACAACCACTACCTAATGGAGAGTTCGAGGGGGTTGAGGAATTTGACGGTATGAATCTAGAGGATTACTTGGGAGACAATGGAAGGGGAATGGTTTTGGAGGTTGACCTGGAATATCCACAAGAACTTCACGACCTACACAACGGTTATCCTCTAGCACCGGAGAGTAAGGAAATCAGTGCTTCTATGTTGTCAGATTATGCGAAGAGTATTGCTGAGAAATTCCAACTGACAATTGGAGGAGTAAGAAAACTAGTGACTTCACTAGGCTCCAGGAAGAAGTACGTTTTACATGTACGCAATCTGAAACTGTACACAGACCTTGGGATGAAACTCACGAAGGTTCATAGGCGGTTACATTCAAGCAGTCTCCCTTGCTTAAGGACTATATAGACTTCAATACGAAGAAAAGGTCTGCAGCCCGTAATACATTCGAAAAGAACTTCTTCAAGTTGATGAACAACTCAATCTACGGAAAGACTATGGAGAATCTTAGGAAAAGGGTTGATGTGAAATTAATGTCCTCTAAAGACGACCTCCTAAAACTGACAGCATCACCGTGCTTCCAGTCACATCGAATCATGAATGAGAATCTTATAGTGGTAAAAAGGATGAAAGAAGTGCTAACGCTGAATAAGCCGTGTTACGTAGGAATGAGCATCTTAGACTTATCCAAGACTTTAATGTACGATTTCCACTACAACACCATCAAGAAGGAGTACGGTAATAGTTCAAGGCTACTGTTCACCGATACTGACAGTCTGATGTACGAACTGAAGACGGATGATCTCTATGAGGACTTCAAGAGGATTGGCGAAGAGCAAGACTGCTGAGATAATTCAGATTACCCAAACGATAGCCCTTACTACTCAACCCACAACAAGAAGGTTATAGGTAAGTTTAAGGATGAAGCCGGAGGAGTACCCATAATTGCGTTTGTTGGGTTAACGTCAAAAATGTACTCCTATGTCAAGGAAAACGGTGGGGGTGGAATGACAGCTAAAGGGGTTGAGAAGTATGTCATCAGAAACAAGCTCACTCATGAGAACTTCAAGAATGTAATCAACACGAAGGGTAGGATGAGACACAACATGAATACAATCAGGAGCACGAAGCATACAATCGGAACTTATGAAATGAGGAAGGTTACTCTGAGTTGCTTTGATGATAAAAGGTATCTTTTGGAGGATGGAGGTACCAGTTATGCTTATGGTAACAAGAATATAAAAAATAGTGACTGAGTAGTTCCCACAGAGTAGAAAGTAATAATCCTAAAGGTGAAATAAGTAGGAAGGGCCCCCTGCCTTATGTACCCCCAAGGAGAAAATAAAAGTTGTCGAAGAGGCTCTAGAATAGCAGATCCACTGTACCTACACCCAAGAAGGACAACACTTAATTAAGAAACTAAATTCGGTGTAGTACAGGGACTGCAGTAGTGAGATCACTGGTTACGGAGCGAGACCATTTTTTCGGCGAAGCCGAAAAATTGTGGTCTCGTTCCGAAACTAGTGGTCTCGCTACGGCAGTTCCTATACTACTTCCTTTTTTTTAAAATATACCCTTTTGATAACAAATAGCACCCCTTTCCCTCAGCAACTTCTGGCATCCCTGCTTGTAGGCGGAAACGCCGAAATTTTATTTGTAGAGCACCGCATTGTAGTATTGTGTCTGGTTCTATAAAATCTTGCACGTTTTCCGTGTGAAGGACAAAAGCACAGCATGTGTTGCCTAAACAGAAAGACACAATAGCTTTTTAGTCTGAATTATGCACAATGCATATCACAAAAACAAATAAACAAAACCAACCGCTTCGCCCCGAGGTTGAAACGAAACTCACATGACAGGTTATTTGGCAAACCGAGGCCGGTTTCAGAACGCCTGAGCTGGCGTCTTGTTTTCTGTAATTTGTTCTGATTTTCTTTAGCGGGTACCAAATTATGATAAAATAATATGACAAAATTTAGTTTTCATTTGTATAGCCCCAGCGATTTAACGCCCCATAGAGCGTCTTGTTTGATTTTACCATGGATAGCTACGACGGATCTGAAAATACAAATATTTTAGGAAACCCAATGAGCAACCATTATAGATAGTCAGACACTCAAACCACCCACGTAGCATCATGAACTTGAACATTTATTTATTGTTAACTGCCGAGATCCATAAACAAGCACATCTCACTTCTCTCATCAGCTCGACGAGCAAGCAATTCAGGAGGGTGGTCCTATTTACCAAAATGCACTACGTCACCGTAATTTCAACCCCAAACTAAGCTACCTGTACATGAATGCAACACCACAGCAACCACGCAGAAATAGGCAACGTATCATCATTTGGTTTAACCTCCTTTCAGTAAGATTGTCCAAACCAACATACGACGCAATTTTCTCAACCTGATAATTGACATACATTTTCCGTCTCATCCCATACTTCACAAAATTTTTAACAGAAACACAATTAAGATCAGCTATAGTTGCACGAACAATGTGAAGTCCATCATCATCCGACATAAAGCACGCATAATTAATTAGGAAAAACCTGCCACAGAGCGAGGACGCAGATAATTGCAACTGTAGGAACGCATGCCAACTCCAGGAAAAAAAAGCAAGACTAATGACATAGTATACAAGGCAACTGTCACAACAAGCGACACAAATAGCATAAGGCACTACATCGGCGTGACTTCAACAACCTTTAAACAACGATGCTGAAAACACAATAGATGCGGGATGTCTTTCAATCACAAAAAGTACTCAAACGATATAAAACTTTCGAAATAGCGTAAACCTCCGACTATAATAAGCCCTGGGCTTATATTATTTCGTAAGCGATTTTTGATGGGCTTATACGGGGGGGGGGGGCTTATATACGGG